TGTGAGAACGTAACCTTATAGCCTACAAGTCTACCAAAGATGTGCACCTACCAGGATCAGGGGAGTACAACAATGCTAAATTCAGCTGTACAGAAACAACTTCCCCTTTTCTTTCATTTTACCTAACCTTGCCTTTCAGCTTTTAGTTGTATTTAATCCCAAAGAAAAAAAAAAAAATATACCAACTTTGGACACTTCCTAATATTCCTTTCTGGCACTAGGGAATAAAAATTAAGAAGTCTTTTAAACAGTTCTAAATGGACAAAATAATCAATAGTTTACTGTTTTAAATGAACAATCAGGCATTTATTCAGTTCTAACAATCTAGTCAGTTTTTTTGGGTTAATATTATAATGATGGCTTCTTTCTCTTATTTTCAATACCCCTGGATCATGCAGGCAACTCTTCAACAGGTCTCACACATCTCTAATTACACTGTGGATTTAAAACCAAAGCTTGGAGGTCCTAGCAAAATAGTCTCATCAGATTATTTTTGTCTTATGTCCAAACCTGAGGGAACTGTGGGGACAAGTGTGTGTAAGCTCTTAGAGCACAAAATATTGGGAGGTTTGGTTACAGGAGCCCAAAACAGGCATGTGTTCCACAGTGTATTTAAAAGGACACCAGGAGATTAAATCTCCCTGTCTCCTGAAACTGTGGGTGGAGTGGTTTTTTGTTTTGGTTAGACTTGGTGTGTTTTGTTGTTTGATTTGTTTGCTTTGGTGGGGTATTCTGTTTGGGGTTTTTATTTGTTTGTTTTTAATCCTTTTAGGTTCCTTTATGTCATTTCCTTGAAACCTACTAAAGATTGTAAGAAATAAAGGGAATTCAAGGACAGATGATGAAAGCGATTAGAGGCTTAGAAAGACACACATAAGAGGAGTGATTATTAAAGTCAGCTTTGCTTGTAGACGAGATGAATGGGAGGGATCATAAGATAGATATGGAAAATGAGAAGAGGCATTCCACAGAATGCTTTTTCATCAATAGAAAGCAAGTTAATTTCTGTTTGTTTTGTTTGGCTTTTTTTATAGTGTAAATCTTTTGTATGTGAAAACATGAGAATTAAATCATCCAAAAAACTACTGATTCTGCTGCTAGTCTCACTAAGACTGAAAGAACAAGAAGACTGAAATTAAGCTTCTCTATTAATTTTTAAATAAACTCCACCTGTTCCAGGTAAGGTATTGTGTTTGTTTTAAAAAGAAGGAGGATTCTTACTATTCTGTTTTCCACTAATACAGAGAAAGTTCTGAATAGGCTCCAATGTCCAAGAAATCAACTGGGACTTCCTGTGTCTCTCTTTAATGCATCTGGTACTTGTTAAAAGCAAGCAGACTTCTACATAGACTTCAGATGGGAAGCAGTAAAGGAATTTGTGCTTTAGTTGTACTGGAAAAAGATTTTTCTCTTCCAAAGCCATACATCTAAATTTATAATCCTGACAAAATACGAAGGATTCTTGTTCAGTAATGGGAAAGACATCAAGAGTAAAGAGCAATGTCCTGATAAGCAGATTTAAAAAGATAGCTTTAATAGACCCTTATAGAGCCTTGAAAGGCAGTCCTGACACAGTGCTCTTGAAGCAAAAGTCAACACAGCAAGGCATAGGTTAGCATAGCCAGGCTAGTTTGAGGAATGAGGAATGTTAACTATTGCAATTACATAGACCTCTGCCGGGATTTACTGAGCAAGAAATACAGTGTAGCCAGAACCTGAACACGCTAATCTTTCACAATGCTTACTGCAAAACCAAGTCCCTGAAGAAAGCACTATGACCCTTTTTAAACTATCATGCAAGCTACATTCCAGCAAGAGCAGTACTTTGTTCATGACAACTAAAAATGCAACTCCTGTTCCCAAATCTTGTCCTACTTCATATCTTATGTCCTGATTTTGAATGTTTTTCAAAGATTTGTATTTGAAGTGTTGCAGGAATCAGCTAGTAGTGGATGTTAAGCACAGTGAAGCTGTAGCAACTGCCATTAGCAGAGAGGACCAGAAACATTTTACATTGCTTCATTGTCCATGGGTTCTACCAGCACCACTGGAGCAATTTGCAGTAATCCAGATTATAATGAGCAGGTACTATTGGCAAGGAGAGGCAGGCAAAGTCTCCCAGATTAGCACCCCTCTTAAATCTGGAGATGGATGATTTTCCACAACTAAGGCAACCACATAGCTATAAATCTATACCCACCATGTAGAAGAACAACTGTAAGGCACTAATTCCACTACACTCCAAGTGATAGTGGTTTCATGCCCCACTTAGTACTGCCACACACAGCATAGCTGGACTCTCTTGAGATTCATCCAAGGAAGAGAACATCCAAGAAGAGAGAACAGCCTCTCCCTCAAAATATTTGGCCTTCAGTAGCAGCAGTGACTTTCCTAAATTAAGAATACCTCAACGGTACTTCAATAAAATATTTTCTCTCTTTCAGCCACTGGGCTGGACTTTCACATGAAAGGTGACATATGGAGAGTTATTAGCAAAACCCACAATATCTTATACTTCCAATGGCCTCAAAGGAGAAGGCATTAAACAGACCTGTTGCTGTACACTGAAGAAGATTTTTGGCTGCAGCAAAAATGTTTAAATCCCCTCAGAGTCTAGCATTTACAAACTCCAAAGGCTATATTCACAGCAAATTGTTCTAGCACTTCTGCAAACTGAATTTAATGATGCCTTCCTACAGTATATACAGCAGCACATTTAGAACTGTCATTTTACCTGTCCAGAAAAATGATGTTGTTGTCTCATAAAGAAAATCCTTACATGGGCTTGAAAGACACATACAGTAACCTATAGGCTGGAGAATTCCTTTAAAACCCACCCACCTGAAAACTGGACTCTACCCTATGTTATACAGACTAGAAGATCTAGCTTCTACTTTGACACCTCTCTTCTCCCCAGACTTTATTAAATGGATCTCACCTTACTTATAACATGTCCTATGCTGCTACCAAATCCAGCTCCAAAGCATTCCTCATACAGCAAGTCTCCCTAGTCTGCTCAGGCTCTTGAGAACGCCCCTACCACCTCTATATTGTTGTGTTCATGCACTGCATTGTTCTTCTCCATCTATATTTGGGAATGGCAGCTTTAACTTCAGCTGCTTTGATGATTTTTATTCAGTCTAAATAAAAAACAGCATTATAATTTCTTGCCTTTTTTTTTTTTTTTTTTTTTTTTTGCATAATACTGCCAGTTCTTGCTGCTCCGGTGTGTGACCATTTCTACCCCTACAGCTAGGCAGTAAGAAAAATGTTGAAGTTGTCCAGGCAATTTACTCAGGAAAAATTCCAATTTGTCTAGACTAAGCACAAATAGATTTACTACAAGGTCTTACCATCACCTGGAACATACAGCATGCTGCTACCATACCTAGCAATTATACTACAAGTTCTGTGATATCTGACACAACTTGTAAAGCCCACACCCTGGAGCATCACAATTACATACAACTCTAAACTTGTACAGAGTTGTATTTCTAGTCCTCATGGTCACAGGAAGAGAAGATGACACTAATTCTGATTAAAAAAATTCCAAAATCAGACAGAAGACTAATGCTTTTATAAAATTAAAACATGAGATTATTTTTTTTTAATTGTCAATACACAAATACAATAAGCAACACAGCATTAGCCACAATACTTTATACTTTTAAGCAAATCAACTAGACGACAGAGTGAAGTTTAACCCTTAAATATGCCCAAAATTATGAAGATATGCAACTTTTCTCCATGGCCACACTTAGGTAGGTAGTACACTATTCTCACAGCAAGATCAGTGAAGGAGAAACTGATCAGTTCAACTTTCAACAGAAAAGAATAAAGGAAATGCATAGGATTGTTAACTCAAATATGACTAGCATGTGTGTCCATTTTATAGTGTGAAGAGCTTTAGTAGTAATGCTACAAATGGGTTACCCATTTTTAAAACATTTCATTACTCTGAAGCAATCTGAATCACACCAACTCCTTTTCATCACTATCAATTAATGGGCTGGAGAGACAGAGAATACTGTTAATGCACAGTACAGGAAAAGAAAATCCCCAAACTCCAAAACCTTTACCTGAGTCAACCCCTAAAAAAGATCTTCCCTCACAAATAGTTGATCCTTACACCTCTCAAACCATAAAGTTAATTTGTTGTCAGACCCAAGATCTCAGCACAGAAAACAGTATTTCTGCCAATATCCCAAGTCAGCTAGAGCAACCTCATTTTTCCTTTCCTGCAGTGCCTGGGAAGAAAGGGCCACTTTTTTACACGTCTTTGAGCTGAGCATTTAGGTAAGAATTTTAAAGTAAAAAGCAAAGTGCCTTCATCAACAGAACACTTACCACAAAAGCCACTAAATACATGAAAGGATCACGAGCTTTGCCTATACATGTTTATGTTTATATATATATATATGTACATATCATATGAACTAAACATAAAGAAAGATGAACTTGCCAGGAAAATAAAAACGACTTCATAAAGCCATACATCATAGATATATAATATATTCTTACTTTATCCCTGGAAACACACAGGTGTACTTTTTCTGCCAAGTTCCATTCCTGCCACAGCCCTCTTTTAACTTCATAAAAGGACCCATAGCAATTCTCTGCTGCCAGATACAATCACCTGCTCCAGAGTTTCACCACTATGATCGAGACAGAGTCATGGCATTAAATCATCGGCGCTGTTGACTCTGGTGAGTAAGTGTTCTATTACACTTGTATCCCTCTAGTTTCGATTGAGGGGATTCCTCGCACATTGGTTTCTATGAAGTCAATATCCAGCCTCATTTCATTTTCCTATACCACAAAGCGTTCAGCGTATGAACGTGAAAGAATCACGTAGGAGAAAACCTTCCTTTTAGATCGTCAGCCTAGCAAACGCGGAGAGCTCAGGGGGAACGTGCCGCAGGTTGGCGGCTGCCTGTCAGAGCTCGGCACCCAAATGGCCCGGGCAGCCCCCGCGGGCCGCCTGCTCTCACACGCCTTACCCTGGTCTTGCGGCGCCGGTGCCGCTCCGGGTCCGAGTACGTCCTGTCCACGGCGAGCGCCGTGTCGCTGCCCGGCATGCTTGTGCTTGTGCTGCTGCTGCTGCTGCTGCTGCCCCGCGCCGGGCGCGGTGCCGCCCAGGGCCGCCCAAGCACCAGCCCCGCGGCCGCGGGACTGAGCGGGAGCGGGATCGGGATCGGGAGCGGGAGC